AGGGAGCCTCTAGTAGAGCAGCAGCTGGAGACGGCGTACGCAGCTGCACGTCTAGCTTCGATAGAACAGCGTCTGGCTGGAGAGGAACAAGGCCTGCGCCTCGAAAAGCTGAGCAGATATTGGCTGAGGTGAGCGATTGATTGAATGCTGCCTTAAACGCTGGCAGAAACTCGAGCTTAGTGATGTGGTTGATGTGGTGGCGGATCAGGCTCTTAACCTCACTTGGTTGGTTGGAATTGATTTTCGTCCGAAGGATGGGGATTAAGTCCACCATCCTGCCTCCCAAAGGGCATGTAGGACGTGCTGAGCTAAGGATTTACAGTGCTGTTGCGCTACCCTAGAAAGCATTTCTTGCATGTGCGAGTATTTCTACTATTTCTAGCTATAGCTCTCCTTCCCGTTAGAGAGACTAAGCAGTATAGACGTAATAGGGGAGAACCCTTGTGTGTGTTTAGAGGCATTTAGGTGCCATATAGGAGATAGAGAGTAGATTGAAAAGAGAGAGTTAGTATAGATAGAGGTTGTCTGCTACTGCTCTGTTAGACCTGCAGCTGCAGATAGAACAGAGTCAGCATAATACAACAGTCTGTTGTTGCTGCTAGCTAGGATAGCTACTGCTGGCAGACCTTAGTATAGTACTGTGTAATCTAGAGAAAAGCTCTAAAGGCCTCTAGATTTGTTAACAGCTCTGCAAGGTATGCCAGGCCTTTGCTGCGGCTTGATAGTGGTGTAGGTGGTCGTAGTGGCTATTGGATAAAAGACCCTAGAGTCTTACGGCAGAGTACAAGGTGTTCTGGCGTCTTGTTGCACCTACACAAGCAGGTAAGCTTTGCGTTAGTGTGGTTAAGCTATTAATAGTACTAGGCAAAGTCTCCGTGCCTAGATCAGATAGAGAGGAGCTTAGCTAGGATAGCTCTTAGCAGGTCTAGTTCAGCTAAACTCCTGCGTGGTGCGTAGTCTAGCTTCTAGCCTTTGTACCACTTAGAGAGTGTTCTCCTCTTGTCTAACTACTATTTTTATTATGTGCTAATTAGGAGTTATTGTGCAGTAGTTTTTATGCCTAAGAGTGTAGGCATTGCAGCTTTTCCAGTAGGGAGCAAGGGCTAGCTAGCTTCTAAGTTAGCTAGCTTGTCTGCTGCTTCGTTTCCTTCAATGTTAGAGTGCCCTGGAGCCCACCTAATAGAGACGTCGTGGGTCTCCATCACGCCCTGGCACTTAAGGAAGGCCTATTGTAAGGTAGAAGATAGGCTCCCCCTTAGGCACTATATGACGGAGGTGCTGTCTATACACAGCCAGATTTAGCGGGTGTGGAGGGCTGGTTGCCTTATTATGTGCTGGAGGCCTCTCTATGCTCCTACTGCTTCTGTGTTAAAGACGTGTGACGTAGGGTTAAGTAACCTGTGTCCTCTATGTAGTTGTTTTCTGTTCTAGTACACTGCGAACCTATAGGTTATATATTTCTCTCCTTCCTTTGTGTACTGCTTAGAGCTATCTAAGAAGATAGTAACGTCTAATAGTAGGAGCTAGGCCTACCATTCTTTAAAGGCTTTAGCTGCCTTCTTCTTATCTGCGCCTAGTGTTAGGTCTGTTTAGCAGCTAGGAGAGTAGTAAGAGAGGTTTAGTGTCGTCCTAGGTATCTTAGGTAGAAGGGCTCCTAGCTGTTAGACCTTAGTCTAGGTTCGCTGGAGCTGCCTATATCCCTTGCCTCTAGTCACCTTAGGGATTACCGTGCGCCTAGTAAGGGGGTGGTCTGCATCTATAGTGCGGAGATGTGCTGCAAACCTTAGTTTAGCTTCTTCTAGCGCTACTGTGGCAGAGGGTAGTCTGGCGTCTTAGAAGAGCGTGGTGGTAGGAGTTGTTCTCCACACTAGGAGGATGCCCCTTGCTGCTATTGCTATTGTTTTGTCTATAGCCGTTATGTGCCATCCCACGTGGGCGCTAGCTTCTAGCGGCCTGCCAGGCTTAAGCGTGCGCAGTGGCTTAGTGCGGCCTCTGTACCAGCACTCCATTCCGTACAGAAGAGAGGGGTATATGCAGGCGATAGTTGCCTTGCGCAGTGAGCTGGCTGGTGGCCCGTAAGTCGTCCTTGCCAGGCTGCGGATGTGGAAAGCTACCTGGGCAGCTTTTGCGGCGCGTGTGGCCACGTGGTACTTAAAGGTCAGTCTGCGGTTGAACCAGACCCTAAGCTACTAGAGGGCAGGCTTAGTGTTTTCTCTGCCTGGGGAGATTGCGTTGATGGTAAGCTGCTTGTCTACTATACAGGGCGGCGCGTAGATGCCTCGCTGTCTAGTAAGGTGGATTATTTCTTGCTTCTCTAGAGCAAACGTGACCTTGTTAGCCTTGCCCCACGCCCTGATCTGTCTTAGGTCAGCTGCTAGGAGCTTAACGTTCCTGTCTAGAGAGTGTGAGGCCCAGTATAGGCACACATCGTCTGCATATCCGAATCTTCTCTCTGTATCTATTAACAGCAGTTCAGCTAGGTACAGTGTGTACAGTACTAGGGAGAGGGGTAATCCTTAGGGTGTACCACAGGCAACTAGGTAGCTAGGGGTAATAGCTTGTCTAAGGCAGACCTGTACCCTTTATTCTATAAGGAAAGAGTCTACAAATAAGAGCGCTCTTTAGGGCTATCCTTGTTAGACTATCTAGTGTAGTAGATAGTTCTTAAGGAGGGTGTTAAAAGCACCCTGTATGTCTAGGGTGACTATTATAATATGCTGTCCTTGTGCCCACGCAGCTTCTGTGTTGTGGGTGAATGCTGCAGTTAGATCAGCTGCAGAGCGTTTTGGAAGGGCGCCTCTGTGTTAGGGACTAAGGATCTTGTGGGTTATAGCAGTCTACGTGATTCTCCTAGCCACTGTTCTTTTAAGCCCTTTCCTAATGCAGGAGAGGAGTGCTATAGGTCTCCAGGATCTGGGTGATCTCTGGTCTCTCTTCCCTGCCTTTGGTATTATGGCTACTTCTGCCAGCTTCTATTGTGCAGGAAAGTAGTTGAGTTCAAGGCACCGCTAGAAGATCTGTCGTATAAGTTCTCTAACTTGCACCTAGCAGGCACAGAGCAGTCTTACTGTAGAGCAATTAGTGCCTGGGGAGGTGCTAGATACTGCTATCGTGTTTCGATTGGCTTCCTCTAGAGAGATGTATGTGCTCCATAGGAGAGGCGTTGCACTTTCTTAGTCTAGGTAGTGGTTAAGGTTGTCTTCTGCTGTGTATTAGTTAAGGACTTCTTCTTAGAGGGCCTCTACTTTTTCTAGAGGATCTAATACAGTTATGCTGTTAACTACTAGAGGCATATCCTAATTCTCTAGTATAAGCTTGTGCTAGGTAATAACCCTAAAGAGTTCTTTGCTATCCTTAGCATTGTCTATAACATGTCTCTAATATTGCTTTTTAGCCTGTTAGACTGTAGTCTTGAAGATCTAGGTCTCTTCTAGTAGAGAGCTACTAGAGCATTGCTTTTTCGCACGTTTGTGCCTTTAGTAGGCGATTTTGCACTCTGTAGTCTACTATAGCGCCACGCGCCCTTCTTTGTAGTCAGGCTTGCCTGCTGTCTGTATAGAGTGCTAGATTGTCTCTGTTAGTAGTGTGACACATTAGTCTAGTTGTGCTCTGTCTTGTGCTGTGAGTGGGTCTAGAATGCTCTAGACGCCTATTTCTACTAGTCTAGTAAACTTAGGTATGCTCGTCTCTAGGACTCTGTAGTGGTGCTAATCTAGGTACAAGGTACCTATTATAGAGGTAGGGATAGACATGACTATTGTCTCATGGTCTAATCCACTGTGCATGCTAGCGTCTACTGCTAATTAGGCAAATAGGACGTTAGAGAAAGTAAGGTTAATAACATAGCCTGCTTGGTGTGTTAGTTGTCCAGGAATGCTAATATAGTCTATAGACGCAGCAGTAGCCTATCTAGCTAACTTAATTCCGCTGTTAGTTGCAGCAACGCTAGGTTTAAAGGCTTCGTGTTTAAGGTTAAAGTCTCCCCCTATAAGATAGTGTTTAGGAGGTGTTAGGTGCGTAACATATTAGAGGACGTCTTAGTTATGTGCCTGTCTGTAGCAGTTTAGAATAGAGACTCTGTTCACAACTACCTAGAGCAGGTCTAGGTAGTTAAGGCTTTCTCTAGTCTAGAAATGCAGGTGGCGTCTTTTACAGACATATGTTATTACTCTAGGACGCTTTGAACCTGTCGCACTAGGCGTGTTCTAGGTACTAATAGGTGCAAAGTATCTGTATCCTAGGTAGGTAGAGGTTCTTAAGTTGGCGCAGGTGAAGGGCTCTTGAACGCACACGACGTCCATGCCCCTCTGAAATGCAACTTCTAGTATTGTGATGTAGCAGGGAGAGCTTCTGCTAACATTGGCCTAGCACACGCAGAGTGGTCTGTTCTGTATGCTAGGCTGTTGTTGCCTATTGTAGGCTAGGGTGCTGTTAGGTTATTCTAGCATAAGGATAGCAGGTTGTCACTTATGCTTGTGTCTTCTCTCTTAGAGGTAGACAAGTTAGTGTAGGCAGCAACTTGTGGGTACATGCTGCTAGCCGACATCTGTGCTAAGTTGAGGCTTTTACAGCCAGTAGCTGCTTGCCTTAGTCTCTTTTCTCTATTAGTAGTAGAAGAGGGCGCCTAGGAGACATTTGTTGTTCTAGCAGAAGCTGCTCTGCTTTCTTCTTCTAGTTCGCGCCTCTGAGCTAGAGGGTAGGGTAATGCCGCCTGCTAGGTCTGGGTAGATGTTGCTACATACTGCTGTGTTGCCTAGTTAATGGTTTCCTTAACTGTCCTGTACAAGTGTTAATATGCTGCTTTGCCTGCTCAACAGATAGCTTTTAGTTTAGTCTTAGTAGGCTTTATTAGGTGTCTGTGTACCTAGCAGGGGGCTGCTAGGCAGTTTGTATGGCTAGCTAGGTGTGGACCCTGGCAATTAGCACACTTGGTTTTATAGGGGCAGTTGTCCCTATATAGTCCTTCGTGCCTGTCTGTGCGATCTCCACAGTGCACACAGCGTGCTACTCTAGTGCAGCGGGCAGGGTTACAATAGCCTTGGCAGCCTAGGTTGTGTCGCTATATTGTAGGGTGTTTGTTAATTACTTTTAAGAACGCGCTAGTTCTAAAAAGCCTAAACAAGCAGACTAGCTCTTTATAGGAAACAATCTATGTTGTAAGGCCCTGTTAGTTAGCTCTGTGTCGTGAGGTCCTGTAGCTGACTGGCTGCTTGCCTGTCTGTAAGCAGGCCTCATCTTCCACTAGCTAAGTAGTAGTAGGAATTTCTGTCCCGTCTAGAGTGCGGAAGGAGCTAGGTACTCCTTAGACTGCGTAGTTAATCCAGCGCTCTAGGGTCCTAATAG